TATTATTATTATTATTATTATTATTATTATTATTATTATTATTATTAGTAGTAGTAGTAGTAGTAGTACTAGTACTAGTAGTACTGTATTTACAAATGATACTGAAAAGTGTGGTGTGTAAGAGTAATCGGCTCCCTTTTCTGTAACCAATATTCCTTCAGAAATAGCTTTAATGATTACAAATGGCTATGGAGTCCACCCGTGTGTAAACTAATGTCAAATACAAATACAGCAGCTAGTGACAGCCTCAGGTCGGTGAAAATAGTTGGTTTCTGTGATTAGATGACACACAGGCTGACTATTATGCCATTAGCAATCATCAGGAAACTTATGAAGACTAGAAGTTACTCTCTGATTTAAGGGGGCTGAACATTTGTGCTCAAAATAGTTTTCAATTTATAAAAAAATTACAAACCTTCAAATCATGTATAATTTTCTTTCCACTTTACAACATAAAATTTCAAAGAAAGATATTTATGTTCTTAGTTGTACCGTGTCAAAATTTGAAAACTGTTTTCACAGTTATAAATGTGGAGAGTGACAGTTTATATATATATATATATATATATATATATATATATTTTTTTTATGTGTTTTAGGTTCCCCTCATATGAGCATCTGAAGGCGTTTTGGAACTTGATCGAGGCAGCAACAGCCAAAATGGTCAGGGTCACCAGAGCAAAGAAAACCGACGTCATGAGTACAACAACTGAAACCCCTTTTACCAGACCAACTGTAAGTTACACACACACACACACACACACACACACAATGAGAATGCTGGTTTTGAACTAACATTTAAATAATTTTCTGTCCAGAAACTGCTGCCAATAGATGAGCTTTTTCTTTTCCTCTCCTACCTGTCTACTGGATGTACCCAGAGGGAACTGGGCCATCGATTTAACATCCACAGAGCAACAGTCAGCCGCATTATTGTGACATGGGCCAACTTCCTGTACTGCTTATTGGGCTCAATTTGTGTGTGGATGTCTCCTGCAGCTGTGAGTTCCAGTCTTCCACAGGATTTTGATGGCCGCTACAGTGACACACAAGTTATCCTGGACTGTACAGAACTACGGTGTCAAACACCTTCATCCCTGCTCCTCCAGAGTGAAGTCTTCTCCACCTACAAATCCCACTGTACCTTTAAGGCCATGGTGGGCATGTCTCCTCACGGAGCCCTGACATTTGTGTCAGCACTGTTTGAGGGTTCCATGAGTGACAAGGAAGTGTTCCGTCAATCAGGGATTACATCACTCTTGACACTGGACATGGCCATCATGGTGGACAAGGGATTCTTGGTGGATGATCTCGTACCTGGGACTGTTCATCGTCCTGCCTTCCTCTCCAAGAGGGCCCAAATGTCAGAGGTCGACGTTTTGAAGACCCAGTCCATTGCCCGTTTGAGGGTGCATGTTGAGAGGTTAATAAGAAGAGTTAAAGAAAATAAACTCTTTGATTCCACTATCCCTCTCTCCATTGCAGGAAGCATAAACCAAATTTTTACAGTTGCCTGTCTCCTGTCAAATTACCAAAATGGACCTTTGGTCAGGAAATGGAGATATGAAGTTTGACAGAAAAGCTGATGGCACAGTCTTGAAGAAACAGAAAATGCTGTCATTTACTTACATTGACATTGTCTTACATTTGTAAATAGATATTCATGATGGAAATATTTTGAAACAAATTTGTACATTTGATTTGATCAAACTCCTAATTTAGACATTTCTGCAGGTAAACATAGAAAAAATATCTGTCTACTTTGTGTTTGATTGAATCCATCACATTAGTGTCTGCATAAATTCTTTGAATAAGAATATCTTCCTCAGCTGAGACAACAAAATCACACCAGTTCATCCCAGTTATTAGCATCTGCCCCTGAACCTGCCAATAGTAAACATGAGTTTTTTTTAGTTCCAATTTGCCTGACTTCATTTGGAGATATGGACAGTCAACATAACTTTTCACATTTGGACACTTAATCTCAATCAGCCCGAACTGACATGGCTCAGAAGGATCAAAGATCAATCCGTCTGGAGATGCCCCTAGCCAAGGAGCATCAGGGTGAATCACAAATCCACAGGGATAGTGGTTGACTCTTTTAATTTGACAATATTCCCAGATAGCATCTGCCTCTAATTCAAGCCCTCTCTTCATAGCTGCAGTCTGATAGGTCCCTTGCAGCAGACGATTTGCCAGATCTTCCTCAGATTTATCTTGAACCTGGCAGATCTCCCTGAAGCGGGAGGCAGTCAACCTATGCCTCCTTAGCTGATGCCATTCAGGACATGTACTCTGTGCTCTGGTAGCACATTCAAATTTATTCACCATGTCCCAGGTGACCTCCATACTTTTAAGGTGTAGCTGTTGTGGTTCAGAACAAACAAACATGCTTTTTGATGGCTGTAGGTGGTAGTTCTTAAGAGGCAGAGATGGGCGGGGTGGTGCAGCATGGAAGGACATGTCTCTCTTTGCTGTTGCTGGCTGTTGGTAGGACAGAGGACTTCCAGCCTGAACTTTGCCAAGGGCAGAGTCAACAAGGGGAAATTCATGGCTGATTCCCATGCTGCAGATCATTGGTGCATCAGCTGCTGCAAAATCTTCATACACCTCGGAAACCTGGGAAAGTGAAAACAATTATTTCAATAAAATGTAAAATACATGTATATCAACTAATTTTAAGCCCTCAAAAATTCTACACTTTACAAAGAGACAGCACTTGAAAATAAAATTATTCAATACACCGGTAAGTCTACAACTCTTTGTTAGTACATTGTAGCCTACTGTTAATTTCATTTTTATTTATCAGTAATTTAAATACAACTACTTACTCTAAGGACAGAAAGGTCCGGCAAATCCCCACTAAGGCCTTTGTAGAGTGTGCTCCTGTGTATAAAAATAAGAAAAGAACATGAGTCAAAAATAGAATACCCACATGCATTTCGTTCAGATATGAAACATAAAATAATAGTGTTTTTCAAGCCTGGTCCTCAAGGCACACTGTCCTGCATGTTTGAGATTTGTCCCTGCTTAAACACAGCTCATTTCAGTTGGTAACTGATTAACAACTGTATCAGCTGTGTTAATGCAGGGAAATCTATAAAGCATGCAGAGCAGTGTGCCTTGAGGACCAGGGTTGAGAAACACTGTTGTAATACATCAGAATTTTTATTGATTTTTTTTTACCTTACACCCTCTGTTGTTGCTCCACTCTTCGGTTTAGCAGACAGCACAGTCATCTTGTCCACGGGGCCAGGTTTTATACCCTATTCAGTTATCCATGACACAGTTACAAGTTATACGGCAAGAAAATGTAATAAATTGAGTCTATTATTGAAGAGAAAACTTACTAAAGTTCTGGGCTTGTGCCACTGCTGTTCTCCTTCTGTACAGCTTAGTACAGGGGGGACCACTGACAGTTTCAGCTCAGAATAATGTGCTGACTGGAACAGCAAAGCCACACAGTGGTTGCATAATGCTGCACCAGCAACACACGTACAGCTGTGGTGAATCAGCTCCACAGGACACGAGTCTTTCAGGACCACCTGCATAAGAATGTCATAGTAAGAACTTATTATCTTAGCTTGGTCACTCATCAGCCATTCTTTCATGATGCAATCTTGCTTCCCAAATATTTTTTTATAACTAATGTCATAGAACCATAGTATCATGTTATGTGATTATATATTTAGTTTGGAGTATGTTCTATGAAGGTCAAGAGTAGTGTAATACAATTATCACAAGATTACATCTTAAATGAATGGATGAGATAAAGATAACTTGATTTCAAAACACTTTTAACCCAGAGGAGACCCGCTAGGTAAAAATACCTGGATAATGTTACAGAGACTGTGAGTGTATTCTTTAGATTTAAGTAAAACTAATATGCATGAATTACCAAATTAACACTGGGTTAAAAGTAACACATAACAACCATAAAAGAAGAACAATGCATGCAGCAAATAACCAAATGGGGACAAGCAAGGCCAAACTCACGTGTTAATATTCATCAAATAGCCAATTCCATTTTATTTTTATTTAAGAATTAATTACCACCTTAGCTAAATCCCCATTAACATTAGGAACGTCGGGTTACTGAACCAACAATCTTAAAACTGTCATCTGAACAATCCTATCTTCACCCTACACTTAAACTGTGAGGTTTTTCATTTTTCTTCATGGACCTGTGACACAGAGCCCTGACAACGACTTCACCTGTGTCCTGATTTTTGCTAGAAACTGAGAAGAGCAGAATGTTAGTAGAATGATCACAAAATATGAGCCTTTTGTTTAAGTGTGGAAAACCTGTTTCTATAACGTGAGTATACACAAAAATGGTCGTGTTGCTAATAGCCTAACGTTAGCTGCAAACAGTTAGCAACATCACAACGATCAAACTAACGTTACTTACCCTCGTAGTTGTGCAGGTAACTTGAGATATACAATTTAAATCCCTTGTTACGTTTGCTTGTCGGAGCAGGGGACCAGCCATCAACAATACGATGAACATCGCTGATATTTATCTTGGGCAGCTCTTGTAAACATCTAGAAAACGCCATTTTCACCGAGACCGGGGATTAGACCGGAAACTGGAATGCCGACATCCGGTCAAAGGGGAAGTGATTCAGGACGCATGTGCACAGAGCCTATTGAGCCCTAACATTTAGTAAATGTTACTTCTGTATAGGGCTGGGCAATATGAACCAAAATTAATATCTTGATACTTTAAGATGAATTGCGATACACATCTCAATCGGTGGTGGTGGGAAGCATCACAAACAACGATGAGTCCAGCTACAGGCAGGAGGTGGAACACCTGGAGAGCTGGTGCAGGAAGAACAACCTTTACTTCACATCAATGTGAAGACGACGAAGGAGATGGTCGTGGACTTCAGAAGGAACAAACGCACCTACCCCACCCCGCCGAACATAAGAGGTGCGAATGACAAAGAAACTCTTGACTCAAGGTTTTTTTCTTCTTCTTTCCATCAAGGTCAAGTTCTTTGTCATTCCAACACGTGGTATATGTTGTGGAACGAGATTATTTACACAGGGTCCCAGTTACACCCAACAATAAAATGGAAAAAGAAAAATGGCAATTAAGATTTTTTTTACCCTTAACTTATACATGTAAACATACCCATTGAGTCACGAGAACTCAATTTCAAGAGAGACCTGTTTTTGGGAGCAGATGGTGGGGGTTAAGGGCCTTGCTCAGGAGCCCATAGTGAGGCAAACGTGGGTGGAGGCACATATGGGTGTTTCACCTTTTCCTGCCACATTTTGATGTTGACAGTACCAGGAATTGAACCTGCGACTTTCCGATCACAGGCCCATCTTCTCTAACCTCTGCGCCACCACTCCAAGATATGAACTAAGAAAAGCATTAACTAAAAATACACTAAGCACTAATAGTAAAAAACAATATGCCGAACAGAAGCATGAACCCGAGTCTGTGAGCAGATGAGTGAATGAACACGGCAACATGAAACGGATCAGCAGCAACATGAAACGGATCAGCAGCAGCGGGATGTGATATTTCACGGTGATTATTCTGGTTAGAGATTCACGAGTCCAACAGCCTCAGGGTACAAGTTGTTCCTCAGTCTAGTGGTTCTACACCTAATGCTCCTCAACCTCCATCCTGAGAGGAGCAGGGCAAAAAGTGTGTGTGCTGGGTGAGTGGGGTCCTTCATGGGCCCTCTTCCTGCATCTGGAGGTGTAGATGTCAGTGATGGTGGGGAGGCCTTAGACCATTATTTACATATAATAATCCTCTTCAGCTGTGTATCTCAGAAAATTAGAATATTACTTTATACCAATAAAAAAAAAAGGATTTTTTATTAATGTTGGACAACTGAAAAGTATGAACATGAAAAGTATGAACATATAGAGCACTCAATACTTGGTTGGAGCTCCTTTTGCCTGGATTACTGCAGCAATGTGGTGTGGCATGGAGTCGATCAGTCTGTAGCACTACTCAGGTGTTATGAGAGCCCAATTGCTCCGATAGTGGCCTTTAGCTCTTCTGAATTGTTGAGTCTGACATATTGCATTTTCCTCTTTGCAATACCCCATAGATTTTCTTTGGAGTTCAGGTCAGGCGAGTTCGCTGGCCAATTAAGAACAGGGATACCATGGTCCTTAAACCAGGTACTGGTAGCTTTGGCACTGTGTGCAGGTGCCAAGTTCTGTTGGAAAATGAAATGTGCATCTCCATAAAGTTGGTCAGCAGCAGGAAGCATGAAGTGCTCGAAAACTTCCCGATAGATGCTGCATTGACATTAACTTTGGAACACAAAGTTATGTTCTCTGTGATGAAAGTAAATTTGACATTTTATTTGGAAATCAAGGTCCCAGAGTCTGGAGGAAGAGAGGAGAGGCACAGAATCCATGTTGCTCAAGGTCCATTGTCAAGTTTCCACAGTCAGTGATGGTTTGGGGTGCCATGTCATCTGCTGGTGTTGGTCCACTGTTTTCTGAGGTCCAAGATCAACACAGCCACCTAATAGGAAGTTTTAGAGCACTTCCTGCTGCTGACCAACTTTATTGAGATGCAGATTTCAAGCAAGCATGAAAGCAACAGTGGAAAGGAAAAATTCCCTCATGAGGAAGAAACCTTTAGCAGAACCAGGCTCAGGACAGGCGGTCATTTGCTTCGACCGGCTGGGTTTGGTAGGAACAGATGCACAATGGCAGGTCAAAAATCACATATTTGGTGTTCTCTTGAAGCGGTGAACCTGCTGCATTCATGACGTTCCCTTGAAGCGGAGAACCCGCTGCGTTCCACTTTTCCTTGAAGCGGTGAACCAGCTGAGTTCTAGTTATCCTTGAAGCAGTGAATCCGCTGCGTTCTACTTTGCCTTGAAGCAGTGAAACTGCTGTGTTCACGTTTCCTTGAAGCAGTGAACCTGCTCTGTTCACGTTTCCTTGAAGCAGTGAACCTGCTCTCTTAAGTCGTTTTCACACCAGATAGTCCGGTAGACTCGGTTCGGTACTAATATTCATGACCTTTTGTTTACATTTGAGCTGGTGCGTTTGCATTCACACTGCACTGTGCAGTCGAGTCAACCTGTTGAACCAACCTGTTCCCCCACTCGCCTGTGGGGGCGCTGCACCAAGAACTACTGAAAGAAACGACACAAAAACCTCTGAAGACAAATCTTCTTCTTCTGTAAATAAAAATAAAAACGAAGTGGCATCAAGTTTTAGCAGTTTTAAGAGTTATATTTTGTCATTTTTGAAAAATGGACTTAGCATGAGCAGAAAATGAGACAGAAGACCATGGAGAATATTGTTTTTCCACACAAGGCAGCTGACAGCTCCATAAAAGGTAAGAGCAATGCGTGTTTATTTGTCCTGCGGAGCGGGGTCCGGTCTGTTTACATTCACACTGTACTCGAACCGCGCTGGAGTTCGCTTCTACCGGACCGAGACCTAGGTTTTAGCCCGGGCCAGAGTTCGCCTTTTTGTTCCGTGACAGAGTTCGATGGCGCGTTCACACCTCCCTAAATGAACCGGACTTTCTAGGAAAACGAGCTAGAGTTCGATTAAAGCGGACTAAACAAGGCTGGTGTGAATGCACCCTTTATGTTTCCTTCATGGGGTGAACCTGCTCTCTTCATGTTTCCTTCATGGGGTGAACCTGCTCTCTCTTCATGTTTCCTTCATGGGGTGAACCTGCTCTCTCTTCATGTTTCCTTCATGGGGTGAACCTGCTCTCTTCATGTTTCCTTCATGGGGTGAACCTGCTCTCTTCATGTTTCCTTCATGGGGTGAATCTGCTCTCTTCATGTTTCCTTCATGCGGTGAACCTGCTCTCTTCATGTTTCCTTCATGCGGTGAACCTGCTCTCTTAATGTTTCCTTCATGGGGTGAACCTGCTCTCTTCATGTTTCCTTCATGGGGTGAACCTGCCCTCTTCATGTTTCCTTCATGGGGCGAACCTGCTCTCTTCATGTTTCCTTCATGGGGTGAACCTGCTCTCTTCACGTTTCCTTCATGGGGTGAACCTGCTCTCTTCACGTTTCCTTCATGCAGTGAACCTGCTCTC